GTATTATATGAAACAATTTCACAACCATATATGAAACAACTTGATCAAAAAAAGTATTATATGAAAAAATTTCATGAAAAAATTTCATGAAAAAATTTCATAAGATTAAACAATGAAATCGACGGATGAAGGTGGTTTGCACGGTTTACACAAATGAGGGCGGTTTTTATTTGATCACTCCTCTATATATATATATAAGGTATATTTCAAATACAATCATGTTCATTTGTACAACCAATGCAACTCGATCAATTAAGATATTTATGGAAATGATAAGAGTTGATTTATTATGATTTGAATATTTATGGAAGATGACTACAATTCATTAATTATGATCAATACTTTATATTATTAGGAAACAATAAAAACTTTTACGAAATCATATATTCATCAAATTAAATGAACAATTGAAATTAAGTTGTATTGGTTGTACAAATATAAAAGGTTGTATAATAACTCATTTTTCTCTGTATATAATAGAGAGAGAGAGAGATCATTTATACTATATATATATACACCTATCATCAACGTACATATAGTACCAACTAAGACCATATATTAAACTCTATTTAAAGCCAATAGAATTGACAAAGGTTTATATATAATAATTAAATAACACCCATTACTTACCATTTATATCAAATGAACTTTGAACATGCCACTACAACATATTGAATCCGATTAAGTACTAAGTAGAAATAATTACCGACCCATTACCCAAACCTATTAAATAGCAAATGGGAATAACTAATATTATCTTTTAATGATTATCAACGGATCATCGATGAGTTAGAACAACCTAAAATACATTTTGATTTTTGTTTGATAAATTAATAAAATATACATGTATGTACGTGTAAACTTCAATAAGAATGTACATGTACTCTATTTTTTTCACAACATATCCAATGGTGTTTGCCCAATTTACAAGATGGATTTTTTTTCCTTTTTCTCTATGGTTTAATGTTTCCAAAGGTTAATAAGGATGATTTCTGATTGGTTTGAGGTTGACTCCAAAGGTCAAAAGTACCTGGAGGTCCCATGTTTAAATCCAAATAAAAATCCTCTTGTGGTTATGAAGGTTCAAATACGATGACTCCAGGCCATCTACAAAGCAGGTGGTTATCCTAGGATTATAGTTGGGTTGGATATACCGAAAATGTTTCACTTGACCATTTGTATTTTTCTAATACTAAATTATGGTGGATTATAAAAAGAAATCGTATCCAAACCTTATAATATAAATAGATTAAGATAAATGATTGGTTGATGGTGAGTGAAAGGCTGATATTCGTGCAATTTGGTTCGAGTTTTGAAACTCATAATATTGACGTCAAAAAAGGTAAGGTTTTTAAAAGATAAATAAAACCAAGATAATACCAAAAGCAAGGCGATAAGAACCCGAAGGTCGCTCACCTGTTCATCTCATCTCTTGTCCCGTCCCCATTCGGACCCTGAGCACCCATTCTCTCTCTAGATTCCCCAATAGTGTATGTATATGTGGTGGCCGTCGCTACTGTTTTATGTGTCCAGCATCTGCTTCACACCACCAGTTTTTCATCGCATGTTAGGAGAGAGAGAGTGAGAACCCCATCATCAACCAAGTACACCAAGTACTCAATAGCCTTATCATACCACTCAGAGAGTAGAGTTTTGGTATCAGTGATGCCTTGTTTCGCGTTTTTTGCTTTGTGGGGTTTTTGCCTTTTTTTAACTGACCCAAACCCTAGATGTTCTTTCAGGGGTACGTTTCCTTAAATGGGTATTTTTGCTTTGTGCTCTCAGATCTGACTTTGAAACCTTCTCCTCCTTCTTTTGGCTCTATTTCATGCATTTGGTTTGGTTACCCTATTTGGAAAAGTAGTACTTGCCGGGAGAGAGATAGAGCTGACAGAAGAGAGTGAGCACACAAAGGCAAATTGTACCCAAGCGACTTGTATGATTGTTTTGGGTGCTCACTGCTCTATCTGTCACCTTCATCCTTTGCTTCTCCTTCCTTCCTTCCTTCCTTCCTTCCCTTTTTCTTCGAGCTTTTCTCACTCGTTTTCTGAAACCATTTTGTTGAACTAAATTACATATATATATATTGGGTTTCTTAATCGGCGAGTGAGACTCAATATGACTCGAATCATAAAGCAACAACAGCATAGTTTGGTGTCCGTTGTTGTTGTGATCTGTTAATTTGGATTCTTTCGGCAAAATGAATGATATGATGAGGGGGTCGTTGAAGAAACACACCTGATATGATCTTTTGTTAATTAGTGTGTTTTTTTGGATATCAATACATATAATAATAGCTATGGTTATTGAATATTATATTATTAATAGACTATATACTTAATTAGCAGTAGGGTTTAGTTTGATGAAAGCGTGACTTTTCATGGTTTACTGTGCTAAATCAACGGAAAACTGACATTATTATGTGACTATTGCCTTAACAGCACGTTATTTAGGATGGTCCTCCTCTCTTTCTTTTTCATTTTTAATTTCTCTTCGCGCATGCGATCTCTGCACTCAGAAATTTTGAATCTTGACTGGATTTGCTGTTCTTGATCTTGGTCTATTCCCAGGCTTAAGGTATCTGTTCTGCAAATCTTGAGAAATCGTTTAGATTCGTTGCATTGTCTTAGATTTATGGATGAATCCCGTTTTACTTCTTTGGGTTTCTGTCTTGTGCAGATTATGAACTCCCAGACCACGTCAAGATTGTAAAGACTGTTGATATTCATCAATAGAAATTTTCCAAAAGCAAGGTTTGTTTATGTGATTTTAACCTACTCAAGTACATCTGTTGACTACCTTTTTAATTATCGACATGACGTTAGTTTGACTGCATTTTTTCTGTTGTCTAGTGTTATTAATTAGCATGTCTTCATACCTATCTCCTTCAACTTCATATCTCTTCATTTTCCATTTCTTTACCTTTCATTTATAATTACTTTGAAACCATCTTGTTTTTTTCCTTCCTTTCTTTTCTTGTAACTTCTACATTGAATTCACAAGACTGTTTTCTTTCAAGGAACACCAGAAATGTCCCAAAGGATGGAATTTTAATTCTAGTATTGGGTTTAGTTGAACACTAGATAATACCCTCTAGGGTTTTTCACCTTTTGCTTAGCAAATGTTTCATTTCAATGAGTTATAGACTCCAATAAATAATCAAAGTTGTTTTTCAAAGTTTTTGAAGATATCCAATCTGAATCAAGATTTGCAGCATACCCACACACACACACACACACATAAGCAATACTTCCCCCCTTTTGATCATAATTAATTAGTTGGCCTAGTTTAAATACCTGGTTTCCACTGTAGAGATTTGATCTTTTGATTTTGTGAGAGGTGGTTTACCTGTATAATGGATTAATTTACGCCAAATGTTGAAAATTGTTACATGCATTATAGCTTTTGAAGGAAGTCAGCTTTTGGTATTTCTAGTTAATGATGATGTTGAACGCTGTTTGTTGTATCTATTTGAATCTGCAAATACATATACCATAGTTTGAACAAGGTGTAATTGTTGTTCATCATCATCTTTGCTCTTAGAAGGTTGAGTTACCACTTCAGTCAGCAAGTTCTATTTTGAGAAATCCTAATATATATGCAGTTTTCTGTTTCTAAACTTTGCAAATCAGTAGACCTTACTGTCTTGTTGATCTTGAAGATTATGTTCCTTTTCGGCAGATCAAACATTTTACTTGAAAATTGTATTCAAATTGTTATCTTATTTGTATGTGTTATGCATTTTACTATCTGTTAATATAGTAAACAATGTGTCGTTGTATACATGTTCCTTGTTTGTTTCTGGTCGATATGCTTCTTATGTGTACATATGATTGAGTGGTTTATTAATTAGTTTATGAACTATTTTAAATAGCATTTCCTACAAACTTTATTGTGCTTTTCTTTTTATAGTCAAATTAACTAAAGCTAATGTGGAATCAATGATATATCGTGCGGTTTGAATTGAAAGAATCCAAGATTTGCCACATCGTTTTCCTCTTTAAATGAGCTAATATCACATTTTATAAGACCGGCAAGACCATTTTTCTTGAATCAAGGAGCTGTAATTGCTTCATGTTCTCCTCTTAAATATTGATTCTATTTGTGGCTCTTGGAAAGGGTCTGGGGGTGTGGGGGACCCCAATCAGGTCTGCTTCTTGAAAGTTGTTGTTAACTTTAGGCTTTCAGCAATGATTCAATAAATGTTTTTAATGTTATATAAATTAGATGAAAGTTAAAACCTACTAAAATTTTCTTCATAAATGTATGTATGAATATATACACATATATATATATATATATATCAAGTTTTTAACCAACTTCAACTTGAGTATTTTGTCATGCCATTGGACATCATATGTTCCACTTTCCAACCCAGCCATGTCCATGTATATTTTGTGGCAAAACCTAGATGGTAGTCAATAAAACTATGGGCTTGTTTCTGGACATGGAAAAGCCTTGCACATGAGGGTTATTTAAACTACTAGGCAGTTGGTTTTTTGGATATCACTTATAGTTTACATGTGGCAATTATTTCCTGAAATTAATCAACTTAGATGATATAATTATAAACTGCTTGTTCAAGGTTGAATTTTCCTTCAGATGAATCACCATGTCCCAAAGATAAGTAGGAATCAGATGAACTTGTGAGTGTTTTGAGCACACAGCCAAATCTTGATGGTTCAGGTTGTTTTATGACAACAGGAGATGGTTTTTTTATGCTATGTGAAATCAGAAACTTTTCCAAATCGTAGATACTTGTTAAGTTTTGATTTAGATTTGTTTTATTTCCAATTGCTTGGTGGTGGCTACATGAACTCTTTTAATATAATGTGTTTCTGTGTATATAAAGAGAATTCAGTACTATGGTGGTACACAGTTAAAAAGAAAAGGATAAAGAAAGAAAAAGGGGAGATGCCATTAATCATGACCCCAAATTCAAGCCAACTGTACCCAATTAATATAAAGAAAAAAAACTTGATTCGGTCTACCTACAAATTTTCGAGGCTTGAGCATAGTGAAACCATAGCTAAATTGAATCTGGTAAATCAGCAGCAAGAGAGTCGTTGGGATGTGAGGTGATGAGAGCACTGCAGGGATCAAGGGAATCATGGAGAGGTTGAAACCATTTGGGGTTGCATGTGCCTAATATAATGCACTTGATTAGAGGAACTGTGGAAGCGAAGATGCTATAGGAAGTTGGATTTGCTAAGATGCAACTGACGAGCGAGGGCATCGGGGAAGCTAACTAGAGGTTAGAGATGTGATGCCAATAGAGAGGAAGCAACGTAGGAGTTTGGTGGGTTTTAGACAGGTGGCAAAGATGAATCTATGGTCTCATCAGGGGGACTTAAGAGGAAGGAATTGCGAATTTGATATGGAGTTCTAGTTGCTTGTGATTTAGTTCAGAGAATTAGGACTGTAAGTAGAAGTGAACAATAAACATCAACCTTATTTGGAAAGAATGGCACAACCAAGTTCAATTATAGTTTGTTCAATCTTACGACATAAGTTTCCCTCCATGTATCTTGTACTATTCTAACAGGTATGCTCCTAGAAAACAAATCAGTGATCCATCTATTGAAGTTCCCCTGGCTGAGGTCCCTAACGGATGGTTAGTTCCTAACAGATGTTTTTTTTGGTTCTTAACTGTTGTTAACCTTCATATAACCTTCCATAACTGTTTGGTCTTATCCAATTTTTGGAAATAACCTTCATTTTTTTGGCTCTCGAGTGAAAGGATTGATAGAATTGAAACACCAACAGTAACATAATCTAATTTCTATGTCTAAGAATTAGATTGTTTCTTCTTGGATTATCCCACAATCAGAATTTCGTGCAACTCAAGGCTATAGGGTCAAAATATCTGATTCAGAAAGTGATTTACACTATCCAAGCGTGATTTCAGAAAACCATCCTATTGTTCATTTACCCAAACATTCCCTTGATCGGTCAAAGTTAATCCTTGAGACTCTCATCTCAAATTGTGTCCTCGGGTTCTCTTTAAATGGCCCCCCATTGTTTTCTCGTCTTCATTTCTAAGTTTCATCTCTTTTGTTGAATTGTCATTCACTTCTTAGAACTATGTTTTGTTGGTCATGAAAATGCACTTCAAAATTAGTTGAAGCATTAGTGGTTTTATCGATACTTCTTCTTGGCCAAGAAATCTCTCTTAATGGGATATCTATCTATCTATATTACCTTTCATCACTGTAACTGTCTTACATATGCATGTGATCTGGTGGTGGTTTAACATGTATTATTATGGTCTCAAGGTACTCGTGTGGCATTTCTTTTGGATGGAAGGAGTTTTATTACTATGAGCCTAGATACCTTTTAGAGTAGACATACTTGCATAAAGGTGTGATGTTGTATGTTCTGATGGATCTTGTAAACAACGGATGAGTAGATGGTTGTTGATCACATATATTTCCTTATGCGAAGTGCTAAATAAATCTGAGGAACGCTATTTTGGGAAAATGAACCAAACCAAACCGTCACACTTTATTTATTTCCTTGGCAGATAGTCTTATACATGCACTCATGTTGGCCTAACGTTTGGACCCGTACTAGGCTCTCTTTTTTCAAGTAAAACGTAGGTAAAATATGTGGTCGTTAAATTGTTATAGTTTTACATAACTAACGTATACCAAATTTTCATCTACCTTACGACCACCCATTGACACACTCTCAGCACATTTTCTTTTCTATCATCATGATAATCGCTCCAAATAACAAAAGCTATGTACTAAGTTGGCTTAAATTGTACTTCATGTATCTTGTTGGTGATTATGAAGAGCAATGGGATGAATCATTTCTCATGATCATTTCGTTAAACTAGCCTAGCTGGTACATATATATAAAATCAACAGTGTCACCATGCATTTGTTTTGTTGGATGTAGATTGAATTATAGGGACTTGCACTGCACATGATGCATCTTGATATATTGTGGTATTTTGAAATGGCACCAATTCAAGGAAGGGGCCTATAAACAAGTTTTGGGTTCTTCTAGGGCTTAGAGTAACTCTATAGGAAAAGCACTTTGTAGTGTATTAAAAGGTTTGAGCTTGGCTCCAAAGGTCAAAAGTGCGGGAGGTCCCAGGTTCAAATCCTTGGAGGAACAAAAATCCCCTTGTGGCCACGGAGGTTCAAATGCGGTGACTCCAGGCTACCCACTTTGCAGGTGGTCGCCCTGGGATTAGTCGGCCCACATAGCGGGTTGTACCCATCATAGGCTTTTGGAGTGTAAGAAATTTACAATCCCTTACAGTCTTTAGGCCCTTATTTTACCTAGAAATGAGGGTTTAAGACTAGACAAATTAAGCAGAACATAAACTTATTGATGCTATTAATACTCATATTACAAAGACTAATCTTATAAAATGCTTGGTCGCTAGACATTGAACTTTGTGTGGAAACATTTTACCTGGTTGCTAAACAGCCAACGGGTAAGATTTTGACATGATGGATCATTTTACTCAGTTTACAAGAAAAGTGCCGGCAAGATATCAAGCGAGAACTAGGGTTGGGTTCCGGTGAGATGGAGAGTTAAGATGAGAAGCGAAAGAAGGGATCTCCACCCTTAGATGCGCATTAGGATGAGATGCACAAGATGCACCGGATCAATCCCCGTATCAAGCTTGATTCATGGGTGGGTTTGAGATTAAAGGTGATCAAAGGTTCAGATCCCTATTTACATCCAAATATTTTGGTGGAAGAACAAAGTCATGCTTCGACAGTTTAGAGTTGCAGTGCGCCATTTTCTAGAGGGCATATTATTGATGAGTAAGCAACAATGACTAGGGTTCACAAATTGATCAATAAGCATTGTTGAAGGTCAATGCAGCCAGTTAAAGGTAGAATGTTACTCGATAACCAAGATCTTAGTAGATTACTAGTAAGAGTAGCAATCTAGAAATTAGGGTAACTGATCACTGAATAAAGGATTAGGCTAATGGAACTGTTTAAATCACACAGGAGCAAGTCATCTATAGTTGTAATTGGATTGCCACTGGAAGAAGACTTGGTTTATTATTCTTAGCGGATTGATTCGAGAGTGGAATCATGTGATTATGACCTCCTGAATCCTTGATCCTAGGACGTGCACTTGCTAGAATTTCAATCTGCAGACCCCTCATAGCCATTGCAACAATAACTGCAAGATCATGAAGATAGATTCCAAACCTCAGTTTTCACATTTGAGGATTATATATTTTATCAGGATGTTGTGGATTCGATATTCAGGAGAAGGGTACAAAATAAGTAGAATCAGCCGATACTTTCTTCGTTTTTTATTCTGAACATTCCGGAATAACTGTCAGAGTGTAGGCTAGTCATCTTCAAATAAAACGTTATCCCTTAATTCTATCGTCGTCTTTGTTTCCATTATTTGGTATTCACCTCTGAAGGAAGATTGTGGTGACCACTTGTTCATAATAGTTCCTGCTACATGATATGCAATTTTGTTTAGTAAACATGGTACTCAACCACAGCATCTGAAAATTCTTGGAGAAGGATTCTATGTTGTTTAAAGTAACTTTATATAGCATGTGTTATGTCTGTATGGATATAATAAGTTCTATGCTTGCTGACTTGGTCCCCGATAATGGCTACTATCAAATGAATCTTGGCAAACGTAGGTCCGTTGTTACATGACTTGAATTTTTTGTATTGGCCTGCAGACAGCATATTGATCAGTTGAAAAGTACTACAACATCAAAGAACTTGAGGATTTTAGGTAGGTTAGATGGTACTCATGGTTCTTGGAGATGATATTGGCATGGCATCAAATGCAGAAATTTTCTGTAGCCCTCAAATTCCCACTTGCAGCTTCGAGGCATATTTGTCAGTGGTGCAAACCTGGAGTCTTTTTCAAGCCTCTTGCAGGTTTCTGCATTTTTCAAGCATAGTACTCGACGTGTTTGTAAATCTATATTTTGAGTAGAATTAATCCACCATGTTTATAATATAATGGATCGAGTTATATGGTGCCACCCCAGGTTTGGAACCCACAGTACGATGAAAGTTGTAAGCTGTGTTCGGGGGGAGTTATTGGGTGATCAATTTGTTTAGGTGGTGGTTCTTGAAGTGCAAAACGTTCCATCTTTTCTAAATAGCTTCTTTCAAAATGGCTTATAAGATGTTGTATTGTGTGGTCCTATAAACTTAAGTCTTGTGAAAAATTCTATTAGCACGGTCAGATCACCTATAAACCTAATTTCTCTTCAGATTTATTAGCACATGTATCTTTGTAAGCCGGGCTTCGAAGCCTCGTGAGGGTGTGTAGTGAAAAAATATGAACTAATCGCAATGTATCCCATGTCTAGAATGGTGCAAGTCTCTAATATCCATCATGTCTAGAATGGTGCAAGTCTCTAATATCCATCAATCGATAAGAATCCACCACCATGCTACCATTATATATAGGGAATGGTTCAAACGAGAACACCTTCATACGAAAACATCATAATACTTTTTAACTATAGTTAATTAATCACATGTGATACATCTTTTACTAAATACGATATGCAAACGACTTTTGATGCAACCTACGTTGTGGATCAAGTTGCCTGCACATTATTAGGCCAGAGATAAGGTGTTTTGAGTGTGATATTACTATCATCACATATGATAATACATGTGATATAAGATCAAAATGGATGACCTTTGGGGCGTACTAGGTTAATTAGGGGCCAAGTCGTCTGCATAGCACCTAGTCCCCTCACATGTATTATCATATGTGATAAGGATGTTTTTATGTTTTCATAAAATGGTTACTGTTCTTGATCTTTGGTTACTGTTTTCTTTTGAACTCCTTATACGTGTGCGTGTGAATACAATGTAAAACATTAAATCTTAATTGCTTTAATTCCGAGAGATTCTAAGAATTGTTTTAACCTAGTTCCCCTATGATAAAATGATCCAGTTTACCTAATAGCCGTATATGAGGAATGCAAATAGAGGCGAAGGATCGTGTGAAAAGCGAAGTTATGATGAGAATCATAAGAATAAATTTCAACCTTGATCATTTGAATCTCATGTCCACCTATGAATTACGTTTTAGAAGTGAATTGATCCTGGTGTATGTCGGTACACCTCATTAATGGTGACATTCAATTATGATTAACTGAATGGTGGAGATCTTTTCTTACGCTTTTCACTGTAACTTTTCTTCTCATCAGAACTCAACTCTACGATTAGTCACCCAATATGTTCAATATCTATCGACAGAAGAAAACCAATCACAATGCAACAATATATAAAAATGATGTTAGCCAAATTAAATGAATTTTTGTTGTTTGTTTATATTCAAAAAGTTGTCTATAATATTTCTCAATAAGTAATATTTATATAAAAAGTATGTGAATCAAAAAATTTACAAAGTATTTTGTAACAATTCTTGGAATGCAACACATTAAGCGGCTGTTTGTTTGGCTCTTAATGGTGACATTAAGAGTCAACCTCTTAATCGGTTAGAGGTAAAGTGTTTGGCAAAAAAAAAACAAGCCTTTTAATGGTTACACAAGCCTCTTAACCATTTTGAGGGTAGGACTACACTAAACCATTCAGATTACATTTCTTCCCTCTTTACCCTTCCACACCCTTTACCAGCCGCGCTCATTGTCTCCTTCAACCAAGTCGTCGCCTTGCATAGGTTGCCGGTTATCGCCTCCATCTTCTCCATCGCCAGTGACCTCCACCTCTGTGTCGTCGGTCGCGCTTTCCACAGCTTCGTCGGTCTCGCTTCTATCAGGTAACTTGTCTCCCGTTATCTTCCGTTTGGTCGCCGGTCGCTAGTCGCCTATCGCCGCTGCTCCTCCCACCCCTCCTTCCTCCTTCCTCCTTCCAATCGATCTCGTCTCCTCCCATGAGTTGCTGCCTCTCCCGAATTGTTGTTGTGTCGTCTTCCACGAGTTGATTCAAAGGGGTTTGCTGTGTCGATCGTTCCTCCCACCCTCGTTCCTTCTTTTGCCTTTCACAGCCCCCTTGCTGTTGTGTTCAATTTCTCAAATCTGTTTTATTGAGTTGCGAAATTAGGTTTAGGATTTTGTTCAGTTAATGTCAATTTCTTGTTGATGAATTGATTATGATCTGTTCTGCCCTTGTCTCCTCCCATGACTCAATTCCCACTCACGAATACAAATGTAAACAAATTCCAAAACCCTAATTTCTCACTCACAATCGAAGTCCTTACCTACGAATATACATATATTCATTGATCACTTCAAGGTTTTGGATCAAAAGGATGAGTATTTGGATCAGAAACTGAATGAATCTCGTCTGATTCTCGATTTTGTTGATGGATTTGAGTGGACGTTTGGGGAGAAGATGGTGCATTACCGGACTGCTTCCAATGATGAGTTTGCATTTGTGGTTGAAGATGATATTGAATTGTGTCCCTTGTATTACAGATTTCTTAGGGGGTTTTAAACCAAACTTACAAAGTTACATTCGAAAGTAGGACCTTACCAAGTTGCATTTGTGGTTGAACTAATAATGTTACGTTTGTTTGGATTAATATGAAATATGTAGTTATATTTGCAAAATAATTGTTCTATTCAGATTCTGCCAAACAGTTCTATTTCATTCAGTACTAAATCATTCAGAGGGTTAAAATGGTAATTTGTTGTCATTCAGAGAACAGTTACCAAACAACATTATTTCATTCAGCAGTTAACCATTTTGGTTCTCTTAACCATTCTGACCACTTAATCATTCTGCACCAAACCATTCAGCAACCGCCAAACAGCCCCTAAGAGGTTGTTTGATTACCTTTCAATAGTTCTATTAAGAGACAATATTTGAATCGTTAAGAGGTGAATCTTGTTTGGCAAAAAAAATCTGATTCTTAATGATTATAGAACCCTCTGAATGATTTTGTATCATAGATCTTCCTTAACCATTAAGAGCTTTAATTTTATTGTACATAATTACCAAACAATTATATTTCATTGTGCACTATCTTATGAGAACCTCTTAATCATTCGGATCACGTAATCATTCTGCACCAAACCATTCAGCAATTGCCAAACAACCTCTAAATTTAGAGTAAATTGCAATTTTAGTCCATATGGTTTGTTGTTTTCCTTGGTTTAGGTCCCTATAAAAAAATTATTGCAAAACAATTTCTGGGGTATGCATTTTTCTTTGGTTTTGGTCTTTCCCATTAACGGATGTAAAATTACAGTTGTATTATACCCATGACTTAACTGTTGTAATTTAACATTCGTTAGTGGGAGGAAACAAAACCAAGTAAAAATACATACCATATTTGTAATAAAAGTTTTGTAGATACCCAAACCAAGAAAAACATCAAACCATAGGGACCAAAATTGCAATTTATTTATTAAAAAAAAACATGTGCAAAACAATATTTTGTATAATTAGTAATTGGTAAAGCATTAATTCAATTTTTCTTCAAATGGAACATATATTACAACTAATGAAGATAATGATACTAAGGGATTGTTTACCAAATGTTTATTGAGTAAGTGTTTATCGATAGGAGTCATCATCCTCACCGTAATATTCTCGACCATCAAAATGAATTGTTGGTAAGTATCTTTTACCCGATAGGCATTTATCGATTATAGTAGGAGTCTTCTCCATCATTTACTGGATTTTTGTAAACTACCTTATTGATCGTTTCTTTGTTGCGTGTTTGTTACAGAGTGTAAATAGATGATTTCACTTTTTGAAAAGTGTGAGTGTAATTGAGGGATGATTCGAGATATTAGTTTGTGTTATTGTAATAATTTTTCATATAATAAATTTACTCTCTAAAGATCAGTATTAATTTTTGAGAAAAAAAACGATTTAATATATTAGTTATTTATAAACATAAATTTCCAATTTCCTTTCAAAAATTCTAGAAATTTTTCTTTCAAGAATTATAATTAAAAAAAATGTATATCTCAAATACATTGCATTTGTATACAACTAGTTTTTTTCCTCGAACAATAATCCTAGTTAAACAATTTTCAATGGTTAATTTCCAATCCTTTCCTCTCTGGCCTATTAAATCTATTTTCTTTATTCTATAAAAAGTTCCATGACTTTGAGAATTTAAGGGAGTGTTTGGTTTGCAAAATGGAATTTGACCATTTATTTGGTTGATAAGGATCGAAATGAGATTTCTCAAAAGAATTGGAATCTCCATCTTTGTTTGGAGGAGGGTGGGGTGGTAGATGTGACAATAACAACAATGGCATGATGGTGGGGGTGCATGGTTGTTGGGGGTGTTGCAGTTGTGACAACAACGTTAGCAGCATTGATGATATTGGTGGTCGGAGGTGGGGGAGGTGAGGTGGGATGGCAGTTGTGATGACGACATTAGTGTATTGGTGGTGAGTGGACCTTTACACCCTCCATATCCATTTCCACGTGGGTAGGTGGTAGCGGAGGGTGGGATGATAGCTACGACGATGACAATAAAGGCACGATGGTCGGTAGGGTAGGTGGGGTAGGGGTTAGGTGGGATGGGTAGGGTGGTAGAAGTGACAACGACAATAGTGGTCGGTGGTGGTAGTTGTGACGACGACAGCAATGGCATGGTGGTTAATGGGGTGAGGATGGTAGGTGTGAAAGACGACAATAGTAGCATGGTGGTATATGGGTGGCAGAGTGGTGGCTTTGACGACGATAATAGTGGTGAGGTGGGTGGGTGACGGGTTGGGAGTGGTAGTCGTAACAACGACAGTGGTTGCATGGTGGTCAGTAGTCGATTAGGGATTTTGGTGGGGTGGGTGGTGTGGGGATGGATGGAATTGGTTAAATTGGATGCAAATGGATGGAATTCAATTCCTTCACTTATGCAAGAAATGATAATTTCATTAATTTGAGAATTCAAATGAATTTAAAATATTCCATCTGTTTCAGGCAATGAACCAAACAAATGAATAGGAATTTGGTCAAATGAATTGATCATTCAAATTTTTGAGATCTTTTGAATTATGCAAACCAAACAATCCCCAAGGTGGCATTTGGTTCGCAGAGAGGTAGGGAGAGACGCACTTAAAATCACCCTTAATTATGTTACCAAAATACCATTAAATTGTCGTATCAACAAATTTTGCAAATCACCTGATTCTCTCATCTCTCTTGATCTTGCAACAGTAGCAATTTCTATTTTAGCCTAGCGGTTTTCAAGGTGGGTCTTCATTTCTCGAGTTTTCGGTTCATATTGATTATGTTATCAAACTGAGAAGCATAATCGAAAAGGTCGGACTTATAAGGTTTGTTTAAATTTAACTAGCAATATATTTAGTAGATAAAAGAAGAGTGAATGTATGGCACATTGAAAATTCTTGCATAGCATGGAAACCGATGGATTCGACATATGACGATTACACCAACCGCAACCAGTCAGATGTATGATCTAGAGGTATCGACCAAATAATTAGCCCCAACGACAAATGAAACTAGGGGCGGGGCATATTCGGGGGAAATTGGTGATTCAATTGGGCATTTTGTTCAGTCACTTTGACAAACCATGAATTACAAGTTGGATCTAAGCATCACTTCAACTGACAAGTTGTTCTTCCCTCTAACGTGATGCATTTGAATTATGAAGATGAAGTTGCACCGAATGTAAACGCAAACGTTATCTTTGGACTTTGTAACTTGTGTCACTCTGCTTTGGATGTTTGGAACGCTCCACATTCATATCTTTGTGTAGCGGCTTAGTGGATTCACCCAACCAATAAGCCATGATAAAAACTCATCGTTGCACTCGTGTTGTTTATTGGTGATTTTAGTGTTACCAATCAAATTTTGGTGTAATTATAATTTAATTGAGATTGATTAGGTGATAAGGCAAACTGTGTGAGTTGGGAGGTGAGTTACAATAAAAATTGTTTTTTACTAATGCAATAAAAATCAATTTAATAGAAAAAAATTAATTGATGCAATAAAAAATAAATATTAAATATCACATTCAAGATTTTTATATCTAACCAATTGCATCAATTAATTTTTTCTATTAAATTGATTTTTTTACATTAGTAAAAAACAATTTTTATTATAGTAATTTGGATTTTTTTTAAATGTTCAATTTGATAGAATTAAAAAAAACATATTTGAAATGAAAAATAGATTTTATTGCATTAATTTTTGAAAAAAAAAACGAATTTTAGTTATTTTTCTATAATTATTTTGCAAGTTAGTTCACCAAAATAAGAATCAGGTGCAAATTGGTTCTCCAAAATGACGATTTTGAAAAATAATTCCCTAAAATAGGAATAGTTGGTTTCTCAAAATGACGATTTTGAAAGTTCGTTCCCCAAAATAGAAATTAGGTGAAAGTTAGTTCCATTTTGATGCAATTTTCCCTTTGATGTACTACAATCTTGCCCAATAAAATAAAATTATAGTGTTAACTCCTAACGTTAAGCACTTACCGGATAAGCATTTAGGTAAACGTCCCGTAAGAGTAATATTTAACATTGATTTTAACGTTGTTGGTTTTATGTCGTTAATTGATGATGCATAAAACCTTGATATTTTGGCATGATGGAAAAAAAGGCCAATATCCACTTCTCTCCAAACCGTACATGCTAACATTGTAGTTTTGGAATGTGCTTTTCCTTTTGGTGGCATGATGATTTCGAAACATCCCTCTTGATATGTCGAAACGGTAAAAGTATAGGTGTAATCCATATACGTGAGGTGCCCAGATTCGAGCCATTGCACCACCCTTTGCCGTTTGGGATGCATGCGCAAGTTGCATCCCCATGATGATCATAGGACTGGTGGAGTTGGCCGGCTGATGGCGATGTTTACTATACAGAAGACAAATTTACACTGGAATCGATCGAGGTTTATGTTTGCATCAAAGATTACTTGGATAGCCATGAACGAATACAACACATCCAATCAAAGATTTCTTGATGACAATATACCAGAAAAGTGAAACAAGATCATTCTAATTCACTTTCAGTAGTAGTTGCAGCAAGTCCCCTGCCTAAATAACCTTAAACAGCTTCTATACGACATAGTTTGACTACTCGTGATTTCAACATAGTTGCTACTTTTAACACTTCGCTCCTATTTTGCTTGTACTGTTAAGGTCTACTGAACTACAAGCTAAAAATAAGTTAAACGGTACATTAAGAACCAAAACACACCTGTTACGATGCCCCTTTACACATTTGTCGAAAGAGCCCCAGCAGCAAAAAGGAGATTTCTTCGCGAAAACTGTTAAAAAAGGAAAATAAGTATATATTAACACCTTCAAAGAAATCCATTTATTCCCTTCATCTCGTAAAAATTGCAACTTTGAGTCCATCTAGTTTTAGTTTTCTTGATGAAGACCGACAAAAAGAGTTAAATGGACCAAATTGCATCCCACTTGAAGATGGGTTCAAGGGGGGGGGGGGGGACCTGACCTCTACCTTTAAGAGTAGAGCGGTTGTTTCTGTGAAGACCCTGGCTAGTGAGAAGTGTGTGAAAGAGAGAAATACGGCTAAGCTAAAATATGAAAAGGTAGATATGGGGAAAAGCTAAAATTTGACCTCTACGCTAAAAAACTGATATATGCTAAACTTTGAGAAACTACACAGAGGGAATCAACATCATGGACAAAAGAGTCGACATTACAAAATTTTAAGTTCTGAGGTAGGGAGTTGGCATATAAAAGATGACCAGAGTATGATGTGTTTACCCTTAAAGCATAAACTGGGGTGGACTTGGTAGGCAGAGTCTTCAGTGATCTGAGCCGATTTGTATTTCCACTTCTACTAAGGAATCAAAGGAGAGAACGGATACATTAAGTGTCTATAAACTGTTAGAATTTACACTAGCAAAGAAAAAGGATCAATAGTTGTGAAAACTTACGTTTCTTCAGATTTTGGCATTTTTGCACTTGTATTAACATCCCATAATTTGACAGTTGAATCAGCCGAACCAGATGCAAGAAGTGATCCCTCACAACTGCAAAATTAGGTTAGAACTATGATGGGGTGTTAAGAAATCTTAACCCTGTCTTGAATAGTATGAATAGCATCAATCTCAAGATGAAACAGAAGGAGGTCAAGAGAAACTTTACCTGAAAGCAAGGGACCAAACACAGGACGTGTGGCCCACGAGAGGAGTGACACAACGTCCATTAGAAACATCCCACATCATTATAGTTCCATCTTCATCACCAGAAGCCATGTATCGACCATCAGGTGACATCGCCAAGGATAAGATCATACTCCTATGACCAATGAAAATCCGAATGCATTCCCCACTTTGCACATCCCACAACCGAACAGTCTTGTCACTGGATCCAGTTGCGATGTAATTGCAGTTCATATGCCATTGTACACACTGCCAAAAAGGGTCCACTTCAAAACTATTTTCAAAGATAACCATAACTAGAAGAATGATGCACTGCTGAATACAGGTGTGAGGTCATAAGTATTACAAGTGTAGCTTTTAGATCACAACTGTCTCGTGATTTACCATCCAATGACGCACATCCTGCAAGTACTTTACATATACGGATTACGGCTTAACATTTCTTTATACTCGTGGTGCTTAAAAAGTAATCTCTCAAGACTATGATGTAACGAAACATCAAATCCTCTTTAGCAACAAAGCCAATGGAAACTTCGTTTTTGTTAGTGATATTATGTTCTAGCAAGAAAGCATCAACTACCCAATAAAGATTTGGAGCTGAAGTAACAGCTGTCACTCCTATCACATAAGCTAGAATTGATTACTATTTGGTCCAAACCAGGTGATCTATTTGATTGAAGAGGTACCAATCAAAGCAAAGCTCGACTGCATTTTCAAAATTTAAGGTTAATTACATAGAGATTGCCTAGTTCTTGCCACCTTAAAGCTGTGAACGCTCTGTTTTATTTTCATTTTGGTAGCATCCATATAAGCATCTATTTGACACATAAAAGGTAACTGTATAATGAGATTATGGGATACTCATCATCTAAAAATTTATTATGTTCAAGCTAGAAAGCATTCCCCAGATCTAATGACCCAAAAGATTTTGGAGCTGAAGTAATAGCTATGATGGCCATCATATGCCTTCATATGTTGTTTATTATTTCGTTCAAACTGGAGATCAATTTAATTTAAGGACTAGATATCAAATCAACACTTGACCCAATTTTCAAACAGTGTCAGGAGGGATGGGCTAGACTGGATCGCCTCAAATCCATTTCATCTTGTTTTATATTCATTTTGGTATAGCATCCGTATAAGCATCAATCCAACATAGATTTCACAAGAAAGTTACTTGTTTATATGGCATCTTAAGTCATCTATATTTCGGATTACAAATCTTCAACTGAAACTTATTATCCCCAACAAACAAGTCCTTCCTAGGATTTAAATCAATATAGACTTGGTTAGATTTGAAAGAAAACAAGAATACTATGTCAACTATTCAAAATGGACACCAATCTGGAAGTAAAAATAATATGCCCATTTCATGTATATGAAAAGTGACTTGTTTGGCCATGAAATATTCTACTTCATGCAGCCCATGAAAATTGCAACATTTGACTTGGCACACAAAGTTTAATGTAATTGTTTAACAATTTGTCAAAACATCTGAAGTAACCTTCAACAAAGACAAGATGAGGATCTTGTGCTTTAGTTGAAAGATTCCATTTGAATTGGATGAGAGATATGAACAAGAAGCTTCGAGAAAACTGGTTGAGTTGGTTATTGGATTACAAATAGAGAAGAATAGCTCATAAGACCAGCTCCATTTGGAATTCCATCAATTATTCGTCCATAAAAAAAATTAGCGAATTTGGCCAATTCCTTCTTTTTGGGTGTGAAGCAGTGTCAAACCAAAATACCCAACAAGCATTAGCTCTCCCTGAAAAGGAGCTTCGAACTTGGAACAAGCATGAAGAAATTAAAAAACTAATCTTCACTTCTACAATTCTATAGATTCCAGGTTCTATTCTAGATTAACCAGAGTAATTGAAGTCTCGTTTGTATTATGGTTTGTATTTTTATTATGTATAAGACCAAAAATCAATACCATTAATTTAGATAGATAAGTATAAGAGGCCATATGTAATTTAACTTGGAATCTATCATAAAAAGCAAAAATTGCAATTTTCGTGGGGAATCCAAAAAGGGACAGTATTGCAGTTTTCATGGGATGGAGGGAATCTCTTTTGTCACAAAAGTAATGACATGAACAAAATGACAGAAAGATAAACAGCAGCTGCTAGCATATCCTGTATTTTAGCCATATGTATGCTTCATGAGTTTCATTAACAGCTGCATAAAAAATATGATGCACTAATGTAATCCTTAGAGAAATAGAATCACTCACATCAACATCAGAGAGGTGTCCTGCCAGTATCCTTAGAGGCTGTATTCTATCCATTGACCAAATCCTCACGGTTCTGTCATGAGATGCGCTTGCAAAATAATGTCCAAATGGACTAAACTGCATACGCAATTTTACAAGATAGAAGCATTGATTAAAAAATTAGAAAATAAACGGAATAGACAAGAAAATTGTGAATCTTATGTTAACAAATATTCCTGTCTTTTTAAACAAAAGTTATCCAGTGCTCCCTTAGATTCTGGACGCATTTAGGTGATTCTAGGTCCATCTTAATTAGGTATTGTTTAACCAAAAGTTATGCCACAAGTTTATCATTTGCATGGAAAGTAAGTAGCTGAACATATCAGCAAACTCAAAGTGGACACTTAATTTAAGGAGTGTATAATAAAATAACACCAAAAGAAACAAGTATATATATGTATCCAGCTTAGTTCCATGGCTAATCATCATAAAATCATGAAAATCAATGAAGAAACCTAAGCTTCGTTTCCTAGTACTTCATCACCTTTCTGCACCACATTTTACTTCAATATATAAACACACCGTACATCACTTTAACATATTGAAATTCCACTCATCCTGGCTAGAGTAATTTAACCCTTAATTAAGATAAGTTGAGCTTCAAGAGATATAACATGAGACTGGCAGCTAGTAGATATAGTTTCCAATGTACCACAATAGATGCCTCCCTAAAATAGAAAGGATCCCCTCTGTAATTTCAAAACTCATAGTGGTAAACTGATATTCCTAAAGCTTCCACCATAATTTGTAACCCCTGGTAGTTACACTAGAAGCAACCATCAAAAAACGAAATCAGATTTTGTTTTAGTTTCGAAACATAAGCTTCAAGCAAAGCTCTTGCATAAGCAAATAAAATGAAAAGAGGGAAAGAACTTTTTATGTTTGAAATATGTCAAACAAAATCTTTTAATTTGGTATCACTTGTACACGGCTTAAAAAACTAAGATGCGAGTCTCGCATCTAATATTGAAATAATGACACATACAATCATTTAATTATTTATTTAGTCATTTTCTATTTAATAAATTTATTTGAGAAACTAATTATAAAAGAATGTAAAAGGAAAATAGTCTTTATATAGGCCTCGTGCAATCTTCATTATATTTTACATAACCACTAAATGACATTCCATATGTTTGAATGCAATGACCATTTCAAAGAAGACATTGGTTCGAAAGTAACAAAGTTGATAAACGTGTATTACAAAATAATGTTTTGCATGGTGATAAATTTCAGTGATTCATGTTTGCTCCTACCACAGATGTTACTAGTGAGACTAAAAATACATTTTGGGTGCATTTGGTACCCGGACAGGCCAGGACAGTGTTTCAGCATTTGGTAAAACAGGACTGGTAAAATGACCAATTTACTCCTAATGAGTTGTTTATATCTTTTCTATATTTTGATGAATTTATGTAATTTATTAATTTATAATAAAATAAATATTTTTATAACAAAATATATCATTAAAAAGTTTTCGTCAAGACGATTAAAGTGACACCAAAATATGAAGTTTATTAATATCCAATTTTTATTATACTTTTTCTGTATTATTTTTTTATTATTAATATTTTATAAATTACATAAATTAACCAAAATGCAGGAAACGCATAAAAATAATATTTTGAGGACAATAAAGTGGAAGTTAAAGAGAATAAAATACAATAAATAAAATTTAAAGAATGGATAAAATGTAAAGAGGGGGACGTATTTGATGTTTTGAAAGAGAATTAGGTTTTATTTTGAGGGTACATTTGTAAAATATAGGGCTGTTCCACCTTGATTCATGGGGTGGGGGTGGGGGTGGAACACGCCTGTTCCACTTTGTCCCACATAAAATTCTTACCAAACGTGGAACAGTGATCTCGTTCTGTCCTATTCAGTGACCAAACGCACCCTCTAGGAACAGCATTTGAAATGGACATTGGCCCAAGCAGACATCAACTTTAGGAACAGATATGATGTGAAAAGATGGAGATTTTGTTCAGCATAATCTCACAACTTCATCTTGTTAATGTGTTTGTCATAAGGATGTTGATAAAACATAGTGTGTGGGATTCAGCAGTTGCTCCACTTCCAGAATATAATGAAGCAGCTTGTTGATAAGACGTAAAGAAATTTGAACAATTCTATGGGGCTCCTAATAACTCTTTGTTGGTCGATGAACCAACAGAACAACCTGCGTATGCTTAGTTAATTACCACTTTAATGCATAAAAAGTTGTGCAAACAAGCCTTGGCATTTTGTCATTGGTAAGTTGAGTGGGTTTAGACCTAATCCAAATCATGAGCTTCAGAAAAAACAAGAGAAGTTCTAAGATAATCAAAAAGTCAGATGTTAAAATATCTGCATGCATTAAATGCTAATTGAATCTCTTACCAAGCCATGTCCAACTGAAGAGGATAAGAAGAACCTAAATAAAAATGGGTATCTATGGGTGCAGGGTGACATTTATGTGATTGTAGCATACTCTATTAAAGATGCTAGTAAAGATAATATCATGTTAAGAATGCAGATACAACTTAAGTATAACTGCATCTAACTGAAAATGGAAAAAGAACAGATTTGTCAACACAATTTTACTTATATACCGATAGTACTTTGCTATTATTACAATGATGAAAAATTCAAAGGTGACTGCTCCAAAAGTTATAACTTCACAAATAGACACCTTTGACTCTTATAAATACAGCCAACATTTTCCATTTGCCAAATAAGAGTTTCTTTGTAAGATTCAACACTTAACCTCCAGTTATCCACATGTCTAACCTCCAGTGACTCTCTTAAGTATATTTTATTCACATGTCTTCCAAAATTCATATATGCAGGAAACAGTGCATCTACATCTTTGAAGTCATTTCGAGATAGATTTCATACAATTGGGCTTTAGATCCTTGGAACTTCAATAAATTAATAAATAATAAATAAATAAAATTGGTAATCTTCTTTTGCTTGAAGTATTTACTTCTTCATCTCGTTCAGAAATAATTTTTCAAAGAGGTCCAAGCTTCTAGTACCAATTACTAATGTAAAAGACATAGTATACAAAGGTTAGCCAAGGATTTATGCTTTGTACCTGAACATCCCATACAGGGTAGTTGTGGCCCTTGTAGCAGACGATGTTTGCATTGAACTTTGTGCTCCATAGTCGAACTGCAGTAGATCATAAGCCAATCAGTCTGTATTTCCATATACTGAAACAAATAGAAGATGCAACCATGTTCAAATATCATACTTGTTGAATCTGATGATGATGATAGAAGAAAATCCCCCAAAGGACTAAATGAGGCTGAATAAACAGGTCCAGAATGACCCTGATACAAAGTGTAAGATCTTTTTCCACCATTTGATCCAAGTGTGTTCTCATTGGGAGCCGAATCATTTTCACCCTGCAACATAGCTGACACCAGCAAGTTTTAACACCCCATATTTTTTAATGTCATACATCAAAAGATGGTCTTCTTTATTTTTTCAAATTTTCAAAATAAGGATTGGGTAATTTGATAATACATTAGATGGATAACTAGTAATCAGCTTTCAAACATACAGCTATCCTCAATTTGCATCATCTCTATTAGTATACCCTCCATTGTTCATACTACATAAAATGCGACCCTACATTCCAGTGGTTCACATTTCACGTGATTTGCCTTGCACTTAGTTCTCAGATTGATTGAATCCGAACTTCCACACCATGTGGCATACCAAACCAAAACTTTTTCGCAAGCCAGGATCTTCCCCTAATTAGCCCCTCAATCGCTGGGCTAGAGGAAAGGTCTGTGTACACCCCCCACACCAAACTTTCAAGCAGAAAAGTTTGACCTGGAGCTCTAGTTAGATAGCACAGGAAACCAATATTTTCATCTCATCATCAGGAGATAGAAAAGTCTGACTTGGAGCTCACGATAAGAAAGTTAATACATGAGATATATTTATGAAATTTCCTTGAACCCAGAGTACAACATAAGTTTCTGTCACTGTGTTCACTTTCAACAATTTGCATCTAGTTCACAGAATGACTATACCCTCATCGATAAAAAAAAAAAAAGTATAATGTTGTGCAAGACTGTTGAGAAGATGGACAAATATTGCTGTCTAAAAAGTGAATTTTCACCATTAAAGAAAGGAAACAAGTTGGATGACTTACAACTGCCCATACGCCCAAGTTTTGCCATGTCCCACACCTGGCAGACAAGAGTTAAATTTACAGATCAGGAATATATGTGTGTGTGTATAAACTGCATATGCATCAGGAAATAACATTTAGCAAGAAAAAAACCTTCAACGATGAATCTGAGAATCCTCCAGCAACCAATGATCCATCATGGGATATTGATGAACAATTTAATCTGAAGCAAGTTGACAGAAATCAAACACTGCAGTACAAAACTTACCAAAGTACTTGGTGAAAGATGAAAGTTTGCAAGAGGATACCCATTATGTGTGTTAATGAATGTATAGAAACTAACTGACGGAAGTGTCGAATTGCTCAATTGTACACGATTTCGAAGGTCTTCCAGAATAGAATGTTCAACATCTGTTGGTCTGAGATAAAAATAAAAATAGATAAACAAAAAAGAATAAAAAGTAATTACTAAGCAATCTGACACATAACAAAAATACAGGGGAGAAAAAAGATCATAACATCAAGCTATATATTTTCCACTGAATCTGTCCCAGGGAAGCCAAACCAAAATTCCAAATATAGGCCTCATCTGCAATGTAATTTCTTATTGTAAACTGAAGGAGCACAAGACAAATTCTTAAATCTTTTAGATAAGCTTCACAAAGGAGGAATGAGGAAGAACGGTTCTCATAGGAGGCAATCTCTGGTCCCTAAATTATGCTATATTATATTTTAATATCAATAAGTGCAAGCCAAGCAAAGACATCCTTGCTTTTCAAGTCTTTAACAAGGGGCAACACTTCAAGAGGTCCAAACCCATAACTCTACAAGGAAGCAATAAATAGTATTAATCCAGTACTCCAAACACCTTAAAAATCTACGCAAAGAGATGTTCCTAGCTTATCTTGATCTAAAAAGCAGCCCAAGAAACCAGGTTTACATGTTTCCAAAACCATCTATTGTCAATGCTGCAAACTATGCCTAATTTCCAGCTGAAATTTTAGCTAGCTGGGTACTGGAAATTAGTTCTTTGTGTTACATCATACTGAACCTATTAGAAGTTCTAAGTTTCGGATCCTAACATTTCTTACGGTTGTATGTCACAAAATATCTAATGATACCACTATTCATCCATTTCCAAGCTGCTGTCCTCAACAAAGTGATTTGTTTTTATAGGTCTGGTGTGTACACGCCTACACGGTATATAGAGTAAATCCTTTTATGATTTCAGTGGCCTCCAACACTTTGCTCTTTATCGTGCTGATCAAGGTATGACAACTGTACATGTTGTCCACTCTCCTCAACTTTTCATGTATTAGTTGTTCTGCCTTTTCATGTTTGTAAAATTTAGACAACTTCTCTCAGTTAAAGTTTCCCTGCTAAGTTGACTACCTCATAGTGGCAAAAGATCGAATGGCCTACAATTTTCTGAACACAATAGAACAACTAAATTTGTGGCCTTGTGGAAAAACTGATAAAAATCCTGCAACTTCTGTGCTTGTACTAACCACAACACATGTATTGCTAGAGTATATTTGTGAGAAACTTAACTAAAGTGCTTGTGACATAATTACCGCACTTGTTAGCACAGATGCTTATAAGTGGAATACAACAATAAAAAGGAACATATAATAATTACAAATATTTGGTTAAGGAAGAAAAAATTGATAACAAAATTCAGTTCTCGACCTCATTGAATATCTGAAAAGGTGGTTTTCATTCAAAGATCACTCGTATATGCATCTACAAAAGAAAAAAGTATGTACTCATATATGCATCTACGGAAGGAAAAAGTTGCAGCATACATTGTCGGCAAAGTAAGCTCAGGTTTGACACGTGGTGCTGCAGATGCCTTCTCACCCTCACCTCGAGCACCTTTCCCTGCTGCACCAGCAACCTTGTCCTTCTTTAACTTCTTGAGTGGGCCACCTTGCTTTCCACCCTCTGTTGATTTTTTCTGAACAATAAACACAGTCCAAAAGAGCCGTAGATGCTTAAAGTGCTCATTTGTAGTTTAAAAAACTAAAGAAGAAAAAGAAAAATAAATATATGCTAGCATGCAAGCAGATTTTCAAGCTCCTGCCCAGAAGTGATTATAGAGATGCATCATGAACAGTGAAAATAAACCATAAGGGGGAAAAACTGGTTCAACATCATTAATAGGTAGATTAAGATAAAATTACTAGAAAGTAGAAAGTGAACTTCACAGAAGGCACATCATACAAGGTTACCTTGTTCTCATCCAAATCCCCTTCCTTGGCATCTCCTTCTGTCTTCTCTGAATCCGAGAGCAACCCCCCTGCTTTATCAAGCCGCTCTTCTAACGAATCTTCGAGCAACTGTACAACTTTTATGGTCAAAACAATATCCTTAAAAGCTAGAAACCACAAGATCAATAATCATAATTCTATTCTATTACATGCTCAAAGATAACATTATTGAATAGTTACAAAAAAAGGCCAATTTAAAGAGCAAAACTTTGGGCAACAATTGTCTGTGACAACCATGTTATCTTTCTTATTTCCTGTGAAAATTCTAGTCAATTATGGAAATCTCTGTCGACCATAAGTTCCAAGAACAATCTCCTGCCTAAAGAGCACTAAAATTTTAGAGGTATATACTAAGCTTTTGCCATACAAATGAATGGAACTCCAATAAATCCAGCCAATTGAATTGTTGTTTCTTATGTCTGCCTATTAGTATTCACTTTAAGCTATGCTATATGTGTGCATAGCACGCTGGAAGCCATTTTCATTTAGAAGTATGATGGAAATGAATTTGATGTATTTATTTTTTTACTTTAGCCTAAGAAGCAGAAAACCATCGAACTGGCAAAACCGAGGGTATTTACTTGGGTTATTTTTATTTTGCTTAATTTGAACTTCAAAGACATAAAATCAGAGTTTGTTAGCCTCGGAATTATTATTAGAGATGATTATATTTGTTTATATCTAGTCCAAGCCTCCAAGGACTCGCCCTTGTTTAAAGGCCATCTGTTATCATAATCTACCTCTTTTTCCTTGAGATGGTTCATTTAGTATCATCTTCAACTCTCCCAGATTACATTTCGTAATTTGATCTAACCTTGTAGATTCAAATCCAACTCATGGATTCTAGCAATCTACATCCCCTTGTACAAAAACTAACACTTACATGTTTCTCGGCACAAAGAAAGGTATATTGCAGGGGCCTAGAGTGAACTGAATCAGAAGATGTGCTTCCTATGAAACCATTCACAAAATTGTTGACAAGCCTGACCTTGTTGAGAACTTGTGATGTTGCTGATACGTTCAAATATTCTATCTATCGTAATGTTTTATCAGGTTTCTAACACAAAAAAAAAAAGTTATTTGCAAGTAGAGAGGATAATACATATCAGGTCAGGAAGTCATAATAGTTGAAGTCCTACTATAGTCAGTTTTATTTCATTATATTCACACAGTTCCTAGTTTTTTGAAAATCGTGTCTTTAAGAATTTTAGGAGTCCTATGATAGCTTATTTAAGTTTATGTTTCTTATTTCCAGCAAGCTGAGGTTACTTTGCCCTAGTTTGACTTAGGTTTCTACTAAACTTAGGATTATCTTGTGTAACTATTTAAACCCTGTCGCCTCCAACAGAGTATCATTCACATCTTCCATTAAATCTCTGGTTAAGTTCTGTAATCAGATTCAACATGGTCAATCAAAGGCCTACTGGCAAGTTCTAGTAAGTTCTGTCCCATTAAAAAGTAAACTAAAAGCCAATGAGCTTAATGGCTTATTCGCTCAGCCATTAACCAGTGTTTGTTAATGGCTTAAATACTAACAAATGGCTAGAAATGGCTGAACTGGATAAAGCCACCATGTATCTCTTGTCCACATTCAGCAAGCTTATTCCAGATAGGTCTTAATAGAAAGAAAAAAAAACAGCCCCTTAAACTTATATGCTTCTGGTTTCTACACCATTCCCCTTGAACACACGATATTTAGAAAATAATCAAGCATTGTGATTCTGTGAGATAAGGACTAAGGCAAAATGGCAAGTGCCTTTTCGATAGTATCAGGAAATCAAATTTTCCGCTCACCAGCATAGTAACTTCCAGAAAGATAAAGATCGTCTGAAGGCAGCGACACATATGCATCTTACTTTAGTTGATATCTTTTAGCAATTATTCTACATTGCCAATCTAGATGTATGTACTTAAGCAAATTAATAATAGATTTGATCTAGATTAAATGAAATTCATGATTCAGTATATTACTTATTGCATATATGTATATCTTAATTCAAATTCTATTATATCTCAATTCAACGATTTTTCAATTCTTTTGTGCAACAAAAAATACAACTAGTTGTGGATCTCGAGGAATCTAGACACGAAAATCATCAAGTATACACAGTATCAGTGTCAGGGGTCTGAGTTGAGAGATGAACATCACCATGATAGCAAGTTGATGTATAGAAGGGTGGAAATTCTATGGAAAGAATGAAGAACAGAAATGCAAACCAGACTGCAAGATTGACTAACCCCCCAATGTATTTCTTTCTGATTTATTAAGTTAGCAGCATCCTGGCCACTCCCAACAAGTGAAAAGGCTTCAGCATCATCAGAAATTGAGCTAGGCTGTCCAGGAGAAACTGTCGAGACAACAATAAGTCTAAATAGGGAAAGAACAAATTCACATCCTCAGAGAACGAAGTCCTACATTCTAGAATGGGTGAAAAAGTAAATACATTCATTGCAATAAGAACTTACCTTGGAAGTTAATATGCTCATTGATAATGCCAAGCATCGTAATTGATTGTGTCTTGTGTAGATATTGCAGAAGAAGCTCATAAGAATACTGCAGAACAATAAAAGAGAATGCTAGCTAAGGTGTTCCATTCTGTGTGGCTCCCTGATAGAAAGAAGCTACAGCCAAAGAAGTTTGCATATAAACCATTGATTGACAATAACAACTTATATTCTTGCATGCATAATGAATTTAGTGTGACACTATAAGGCAATTGCAGTTTCAGTGTAATAGCAGTAGGAGTTGGAATCAGTTACCTGATGATTGCATGTCATGATTCATAAATCTGGTTTTTTAAACAAAGAACATACCACAAGATTTGCTCATACAAAGACTTGATTTGTCTCCCAAAGTAACGTAGTTCATTCAAAAAGAAAGTGAAAAGAAAAGCTTCTGTTCCCTGACATAGTTTTACAAGAACAATCTTTTGTATAATACATAGTATACTGTATACACATAGGCATATGCAGGTATTGCAGTACCTTGCAGATAAACTACAACGACATAGAATCAATTACAGAAACTTGAACTGCATCAGGTTTGTATTGAAACAGAGATTACATTGGCTCTATGACTGTTTAATTCCTGGCTCCCATACACCACTACTGTTAAAGCTATGCCATATGTCACATCCTAATCTTATCATGTATAAACAAATCTAATAATAATCTAGAAATGTATAATTATTATCTACTTATCTTACATTACCAAGAAAGAAGCACATGGATGGACAGATAAACAACTCTTGTTGCAGTGTAGTTGGATCAAGAAGAAAAGTTATCATGGCCAAGATCATATAGAAGCCAATTCAATAGACCGACCTTTTATGTCCTACCTCTTTTGTTCTGCAGAGTTTGTAATGGACACACATAATATATCTTATGCTCAGTGTACAATTCTCATACAGCTAAACCATTGTGAGGAACATTGTAAGAAAGTTGTCGCTTTCTACAAACAGAAGAGGGTAGTGCTGAATTAGATGCAAAAAGTGGTGATGAATTGGGATGCAGGTGATGGAAGTTCACAAGAACAAAGAGCTCAGGGAAAGGGAGACAGGGTCAAAGAGATTTGGTATACAGCCACTTACCATGCAACCCTACGTTAGGTGCTATTAAGTAATTTTCCTTCATGAAGAGAAGGCCAATTTTGTGTCTTTAACTCATCTTTTTTAATAGGTAATTCCAATTTCTATCACGGCATGTTGGTATGAAAAAACATAACAAATCATCTTACAGATATAAGGATCAAAAGATAACCTGGCATATCTTTATATTCACTTTGCTCTGCCTTAGAGAATGAGCAAACTCCATCTCCTGCATACTCATGAAAGAAGAGTTTATTCGGACATGGTGAAGATACTTCACATAGTTTAGAGGTTTAGGGTATCAGTAATTTACCTCCAGATGAGATGGAGAAAGAACACCTTCCAATTTTGTGAGGTCACGTGAATGCATCATTTCATGATCTTCACGGAAGCTATTAAAAAATGTCCGAGCTGAAGATCCAAGCACCAATTTTCAAAGGTAAAATGAGAATCCCAAATAAACTGATGATTGGCTCTATGTTGTACATTCAAAGATATAATATGCCTACCTTCTTGAAGATGACCTTTCGCTATAAGATCCATGAAACAGTGGATAAATACTGGATAGAGAACACGAAGCAATTCATGCTGCATTGTTAAAACATTAAAATATGAATAAAACAAATATATAAAACTTCAGTGCTGACAGAAAAGAAAAAGAAAAAAGAGAGATCAAGAATAATGTAGAAAGAGTATGTATCCCAAAGAATAGCATCTATCTGCCCCAATTAGTAAAGATTTTTGCTCAGATATATTCACAATAAATACATAAAAGGGGGGTTCAGAACCCACAAACAGTTGCCCAAGGAAGACTATTCAAGGACTTATTTCTGAATTTTAATTTCACCAATAGGAATACTGATTGTTAGCAGTTTCCAAATTAAGAAATCAATCATAGCCCTATCTAAGAAGAGAATAGGTTAGTTTCCAGTTAAATTCAGCATGCCTGGAATTGTAAGAATTACTCTCATCCTTTCTAATAAAAGGAATCACATCAAACAGTTGTGCTGCAGTTCATGAGCACTTTTCAAGCTAAAAAGCATTACCAATATATTGTCACAAGATCACTCCCAGTATGATTCATAGAATTACAGTTTACAGTAAAATAAGTGACGCACTAAAATAAGGTATAATAAGCAACATGCATGTGACTCAAATTTTAAGTAAATGTGTAATTCATTTTTTGAAATATGAAACACCTTGCTCACATAATGAGCTCATTCGGAGGAAATCAAATTACAAACCCAAAGAAGATACTAAGTTCAGCATATGGGCACCTTGTACAAATCTAGCGAGCTATAAGTCCACGACCTCAACTTGCTATATCCATCATGGTACAATGCAGGGATACTTTCTGACCTGAAAAGCAAGAACCAAGTGGACACAAAATCAACATGGATAGGCATCAACATAACCACAGACATTGCACAAGCATAAAAATTGCACTTGGTTTGTGCATTTTCATAATTCAAAAACTATTAAGTACAAAAATACAAATACATTTCATGAAATCAAGAAAGATCAGCATGAAAACAAGAAATTTTCTCAATTAACTAGTAAACAACACAACTGTCATTTAAGAGCGTCTTCAAACTACTACACTAATGAATGTAGAATAGATCTCTCATAATGGATCTTACCGGATGTTACTGCTCAAACAAGTACCATACAAACATCCTTATGGTGGCACATACACACAAAGATGGCTCAATTGTCAGAACCATTGATAAAAAAGGTGGAACCTCACAAACATCTCCAGAACACATGCACACACAACCTCTTAAGCTACAACCCCAACTCTAGACTACTACCATGCAAGAAAATCAATATTTGTGATACTTGGAAATACGATAAAAGAAAGAAACAACAACTTTGTGTCAACAAGTGTAACTCCAAGAGAGCATACTCCCTTGGTTCTAAAAAAGAAGAACGAGACCGTGGTGGTCAAACAGGGTACATCCCAGGTGCATTTGATTTTCACACATTTATAGAAAAAGATACTAATTGAAGACTTCACAACAAACAATGCTAGAGTTAAATTTACAGCAAAATTCAACACTTCTTTTGTGTTAGGGAAGTACTAGGTTTGACATTGAAATGAGAAATGTAGCTCATTTATAAAACAGATGGAGTAATAGATAGATCAAGGTTTAATTATAACCCCCCTGAGGTTAAGATTAAGATTTAGAAATAACCATTAGCACCAAAACAAATATAAAAGAAACAAAAACTCCATAAAATAATGTAGTTCCACGACATAATGATGGTGATTGTGATGATATTCCAATACTTAATTCTAGAACCACTTATTCTTTTCAGTACCGGAAAATGCACCTAATATGATTATATAATGAACAACACGAACATTTCAAAGCCAACAAGTTAGAAGTGCATGGTTTCCAGAAAGAAGCTACATTTAATTTCTAATGTCAAATCTTAATGCAAAATCATCAAAAGCATTGCATTTTGTATACTTGGTATATGTGAGTAACTGCTAGAGAGTAAAGCAAGCTGGGGACCTGAAGAAGACCTTTGACAGTAAATACCATTGTAGTTAGTAATTCTTTAAGGAAGTTCCAAATCCATATCATTTTGGAAGTTAAAAAGTAACATGCATGTATCAACTAAACATTCCGTTTTGATTTGAAAAGGAGTAACAGTAAACAATTTTATATTTAACCTGAAAAATATATCAACGAGATCCTCATAAGCTCCAAAAGAGGATTAGGATTATGCATTATAACAACAAATAGACTAATTAATAATAAAGAACAATGTACAGAGAGTGTAAAGGAAGTACTGGGAAAAGGTGAGGATTTGTTTGGCAAGATCTGGGTCTGACAGGGAGACATCAGTAGCATTAATAGATGAGCTGGAGTTCTTGTTCTTGCTCTGCTGTTCTTGTTGAAAAATCTGTTCAGTTTGGGTAAATCCCTTTTTCTTCAAATACATAAAGACGGCTTTATCTAACACTTCTTCTTCCATGTCTATCTTCTTTCTGTTTCTTTACTGAAACATAGGACAGATACGCATCATTGCTGAATTAGAACCAAATTTGTATCAAAATAGACTCTGAATAAACACAGAAAACTAACAGCAGTTGATTCTAAAAGAATATCATTTTCCAAGTTTGAAAAGCAGAACACTGCAAAGTAAGTAGACCTAGAATTACAAACGGCAAAGCCAAAGCAAACTGGGGTTATACCTTATCCATCAAATGTTTTACAATGTTACAATTTTAGAATTTTGAAAAACAACTAAGATTAAATATAACACATCAAAATTAAAAATTACAAAGAACTACACAAAGCTTACAACCAATTAAAATTAGGGCTCCAATTTTTTATTCGTGATTATAAAATACCCGCACACGCGATAAATGTGACGGAAAAATAACAAACTGCGGCCACCACAATGCTTGCGATCTTCCTTCTTCCGGTGCGAATGAGAATGTGTGTTGGTGTCTGAATTTGTAGTAAAGAACTGTAAAGTAATTGAATTTAAAGGGAATTGTGGCCACTGGCCTGAGGGTGTGATTGTGAGGACAACTAATGAACCATTACACGTCAAAATTAAGACTTCCAAAACAACTAAACAAAAAAATACAGACCAATAATAAATTACTACACATATAGAATAAGAAAAAGATAAACATGATGAAGATGAAAGGATGAAGAAACCTTGAAACACAGAGTGCAACAGAGAACTCAAGAAACTGGACGACAATGGCTACGATCTTCCTTCTTACGGTGCCAAGTTCAATTTGTGTTGGTACCTGACCGGATTGAACACTTTTCTTGGGGGAGGGGGGGATTTGATGTGTTTTTTGGTGAAGGGATTGAGGGTTGAGGTTCGAAACCCGGATCAGGGTTTTTCAAAATCGAACCATGGACCGAACCGAAGACAGTTATATGTTAGAGTAAACTACGGTTTTGGTCCCTCTACTTTAGTTGTTTTCTCGGTTTTTGTACCTTTGTGTGAAGTGTTTTAAATTATCTTTACGTGTAATATATACTATTTTATAAAGCAAATTTGCCTAAAGTCTTAAAAACACCTTAACATGCATAAGGTACTACCCTTTAATGTAGAAAGTCTTAAAAATGTACAACTTTTTTATGCATTTTCAATTTAAATTACTACCCTCTAATGCAGAAACACCTTTTAACACATCCGGCTGGCTCTATCGCTTCCAAGCTCCAAACGACGCTCCTCTTCCCAATGCAACTTTGCCCAACCTCCGGCTCTCTCTATGATTACAGTGATGACGATTCAGTCTCCAAGGCAACGATTCAAGCGACTTATAAATTATCGCTTTTGTCACGATTTACCTATCAAAGCACGATTTAGGCGATTATGTGGAGGTTTCAAGCGATTCTGTGATTTTCAAGCACGATACACCATTTCTGTGGAGGTTTTCAAAGGTCAGATAATGCGTCATCTGATTGTGTTAAGCTATGGTTTATTTTGTTAATTTGTGGAGGTTTTCAATCGATTCCTACTTATTTTTCTTTAAATGCTTTCTGAGGATTCTTGTTGATTCAATTGATTGGTTTTTGAGAAAACTGGAAACAATTCCTACATTGGAATCTTTATGTGGCTTTACTGTTCATTTCATTTGTGTTGTGTTTGAATGATTG